CTTCAGGTATATCGAAAATTAATAAAGAATCACTCTCTGATAATCGATGACTTCCCCCGATATCTTCAGGTTCATTCATTGAGAAATTATTAGTATTTTGTAGCCCATAACAACTAGAGATATCAAGAATGTTTGGATTGTTTGGATTTTCTGTTATTATATTATTTTCTTCATTATCTCCGACATGAGCATCATTTTTACTGATAATATCATGATTATTTCCGTCCATGCTAAATGAGTTTAGTTCTGTCTCGATTTCACAATTTATTGGACGAATATTTTCTTTTTCTGAAGATAAACCAGCTTCAACATCTTCTACAAGTTTAGCGTTCTTTGCATTTTGCAGAATTCTCATAGTTCTTGAATTAGGCCGATCCATAACTGCAAGAATCAATAATAATATTAATTTCTATTGGGCTTGAGCAATAAATTTTTCTTCCTACATTATTTTGAAACTAATTTTTTCATCATTATTTGATATTTTAATAACATATTATATTTTTATATTCAAATTTAGTCAACAGAAAGATTGTTACTCTTTATCACGTTCATTTTCAGGTATTTTTCCAATGAATAGGTACATAATGAGAAAGGAAAGTCCGAATTTTTCTCCCGCGGTATATTTGATACTCGACGCATAGTCTATAAGTAATAGATTGTGAAAACAATGATCTACAATGTATTCAGAATTATTCGAACATGACAAAACGGCATTCCATAAGGATGGCAAATGTCGTAACTCCATCTCATTATTCAAATAACCTAGATCAATGAAACTGGAAAATGTCGTTACTCCGTAATGATTTTGAACCGATCAGAAAAGCTTCCTGCTTTCTTAAATGTAGTTTATTTATTGATAATTACGAATAACAATACTTACCGGGTACACGGGAATCCCTTTATCACTGAACTATAATTTGAGTACCAAATAACTTGCCAAAAACTGAAGGGACTAGTACACAGTCACATCTGTTGCATTATAATGGTGGACGTACGACTTTTTCTACATGCTCTATTCGAAGTATGGACTTACGACTTTATCTATTTCGGTATTTCAAGGTTTTATAAATTTTTTGGAGTTACAATGTTTGGTAAATAGTTAGCTATAATTTTTCTGCGTCAGATGGCACCAATATCTCATATACGATTTAAATTGGACTTACGACCTTTGCGAATTAAGCCGACGATATTTTCAATTCATATAGGGAAATTATAGTTTTTATGAGTACATACTTTAAGAATAGTGTTCAATTCAGATCTATTAAACCATGTACCTACCTAAAAGTCTGACCCTCTTCTTTCATGACTTTTTTGGTGTCCTTAAATCATATTGGTCTTCGCTATGATTACTATGTTCAGAGGGAATATAATCATCGTCTTTATCATTACTACCGTGTCCTAGCCTCTCTTCCGTATTCCATGCGGGCAAAAGTGGATGGAGGTCATTTTCAATTTCTTCATGTGAGGTCATTTTCGATTTCTTTATATGAGGTCATTTCTCCTGATCCACTGTTATCATCTTCAACCGTGTATCGTTTAAGCAATTCTAATAATCTACATATTCGCAGTAATCAAGTAAAATAGGCTGTTGATAGCAATCTTTGTGAATTTTATTTGCATAACCCAAAAAAATTTGTAAGTTACCCACATCAAAACTATTCAGATTGAGACTGACAGACTCTGTTGCAATATGTTTTCGAAGCTTCGTACCTCGTAGAGTTTCTGGATTTTTCGTTCCACATTGGCTGGCATATAGTCGTATCAAATCAGTTGCTCTCAAATGTCGATAAATATCTCCATTTTCACTCGACCCTATATGACTGAATTATAATTGACTAAATGTTGTAAGTTACCCACGTCAAAACTCTTCAGATTGAGATGGACATATTCTGTTGCAATATGTTTTGGAAGCTTCGTACCTCGTAGAGTTTCTGAATTTTTTGCTCCACATTGGCTGGCATATAGTCGTATCAAATCAGTTGCTCTCAAATGTCGATAAATATCTCCATTTTCACTCGACCTTATATAACTGAATTATAATTGACTAACCTGAATCACAAGGTGAATCTGAAATACATTTCACTAATCTGAATTACATGTTCCACTTTCTGAATTACCATTCACAAAGAATCACAATCAACTATTCTGAATTGTAATCTACAATTTATGAATCACAATTGTAAAAGGTGTAGAGGCGTTAGTGAGAATCTTGGTGTTGCCAAGTCATGGTTACCGTCTCCGAATATTGTCAACTTTAATGTCACAAGCTTTTGTTTTCTCATTGTCACTGAAAAAAATCTCTGACTTGTAGAGTGGCATCTCAACCAAATAATTCAAATTGTTTGCCAAACAGTGCCTTGGCTCAACATTTCTGATTGTCTTTTAGAGTTCGTTTATATGTCTAGTAAGTGCTTGCGACATCATAGCATTATCCTCTACATTTGTGAATATCTATATTAAACCGAGAAAAACAATGCAAAAAGAGATTCGGCTGTTTTAGAAGACGTTTTGATAATATCCAAGAAAGTATTCTCGAACCTCCAGATTTTCTGATGAAGTTCTCAAACAATACGAAACTTGTTCTTGATTGGTGCCGTCAGTTGTATCTTCCAGTTTTACCGAGATAAAAACGTCATTTCTAATTTCTTTCAAAATGCCACTTGTAACTTGTGATGCCATAATGTCTAAAATTGCAATTTCTTCAGAATAGGTAAATCGATAGATCGGGTTTGCAAAAGTATATAATAATTTGACATGTCCGCGTACCGTCAATCCTTGTTCTGCTAAATATTGAAGTGATGATATAAAACAGAGCATACGTGATTATCTCATTTTTCTTTTTTTCTTCTCACACGGTAAGTCATAACGTTGGTACCTTCCTTCAGTTCGTGAAGTAACCTTATCGAATTTTTATGCACCGTCCATGTACCGCAAACCGTTGCGCAGTTTTTGATGCGGACAAATGTGGATCCACTGTTATCATATTCAACCGTGTCCCCTTGGGCCAATTCTAATAATCTAGACATATTCGCAATGTAATCAAGTAAAATAGGCTCTCGGTAGTAATCTTTGTGAATTCTATCTGCATGACCCAGAAAAATTTGTCACACGTTACCCACTTCAAGATATTCAGATTGAGACGAACAAATTCTGTTGCAATATGTTCTCGAAGATTCGTAGCTCCTAGAGTTTCTGAATTTTTTGCTGTATCAAATCAGTTGCTTTCAATATTCGATAAATAATAGTATATTACGTAACAAGAGTTGTAAGTAACCCATTACGCACCAAATGAAAGGAAAACACATTATATGGAAAACCCAAACGTTTCGGTTTAATTCAATACAAAATGAAAATGTGCAAAGTCAAATCTGATGTGCTACAGACAAAATAATTGAATGTACAGATATTTACAGATGCCACATATACATCATTGATGAAGTTCCCCACAATATCATCGGGTAATTTATATTCAAATAGAGCAACGTGGGTTAACTTTTTTGTCCTATTGAAGAATCAGCAATAGCAAGATGAAATGAATCATGCTGTCTAGTTTGGTGATCATGAATTCCAACAAGCTTTTAGCTAGACCAGCGAATCTTTCGATTCTCAAGGTTATCAGAAGGTTATACGTGTTTATAAGACTTATAAGGTAATATGAGGAAGGAAAATATCTCTCCTGCATGAAAAAGGAAAGTACTCTCAACCTGACTTGTCCTAAATGAATATTTTTCCTGAAATGTTTTTTTTTTAAATTAATTGAGTGAAATAAATTTAACTCCTCGCAGGGATTGAACCCCAGTCACCAACGTGGAAGTAAGATACTCAGACCACTAAGCTATTGCTTTACTCGTAGTAGTCGTAGTGTCTCAATATAAAGAAGGAAGAAATATCATGTGTTGTGGGTGACGTCACTTGACCTCGATGTTTGAAAGATTCGCTGGTCTAGCTAGACACTTGTTGAAGTTCATAGTATCTTCATCATCATCAATCATCAAAATACTTTATTGTCTGAAGATAGATACATCTTATTGACAAAGTCTGGAATCCTAAATTTAAATTTAAAAGTTTATAGTTCCAATATACACACAAATGTTGAAATCAGTTTTTTGGACAATACACAAGATAGTCAATCAATAATACAAATAAAAATAAAAAAATAAAAAAAAAATAAATAAAAAAAAAACTTGGTCGACACATCATTAAAAAAAACATATATATTTATATATATATATATATACTGCACAGTGTGTAATGGGCGTAAAATGTGAATTTAGTATAAATATTGGTAAGGTCAGGTTAAATACATTAACAGCTAATGATTTAAACTAAAATGGAAAGTCCAAAAAGTTGTATCCTACTTGATCAGATTAATAAAAACTCAGCTAAATTGATCTTCGTAAAATTCCTCTGTAGTATAATAGGCCCTCACAACCAAGAACTCTTTCACTTCTTTTCTGAATCTGGATACACTCTGTATTTCTTTTAAATTGCTGGGTAGGTGATTGAACAATTTTCTGCTCTTGTAAATAAGAGAATTTTGAGTAAGAGCTGACGTAGGGATGGGGAGTGCAATATGGTGTCTTAAACGTGTATTATATACTGACGAGTTGTTTATATCATTTCTGTATTTCTTGTGAATTAGACATACTGTCTGTAAAATAAAAAGACCTGCCAGTGTTAAAATCCTTTGCTCTAAAAACAATGGTCTACATGAATCGCGGCATTTGGCTTTACATAAATATCTAATGGCTCTTTTTTGAAGGGTAAAGACCATTTCAAACAGTTGCTGTGAACATATACCCCAAAAGCAAATGCCATAGCGTAGATGTGACTCTACTAATGAAAAATAAACCTGCCTAGCATCAGCAATATCCAATTCGTGAGAAACACTACGTACAGCAAAGCAACCCGATGCTAAACGATGCTCGATGCTCTTGTCAAAATAAAATGGAATTTCAGATTATCTGGACACGAAATTGAATTCTGTGATTTTTCTGCAGAAATACGAGTACGCCCGATCGGGCAACCCCACCAGAGACGTTCTGGAGAACGTGCTCGCCCGATTGGATAATGGCTCCCACGGGCTGACGTTCGCTTCTGGCCTCGGCGCCATGACCGCCATAGTGGGGCTGTTGAAGACCGGCGACAACATCCTGTTGGGCGACGACGTCTACGGCGGCACCAACAGGCTGTTGAACAGGGTGGTGACCAACTTCGGCATCACTGTCACCATGGTGGGGATAGAGGACGTGGGGAATGTTGAAGGGGCTATCAAGGCCAACACGAAGGTGAGTTGTGGGATTCTTTGTTTTAACTCCTTGATTGAACTTGGGAGATACTGAAAACAAACAATCGTATCTGAAACCTCATTGTTTTCTTTCTTATACTCTTTTGTCAGCAGAAATATTTTATAATAATGATAATAATAACAGTCAATTTGTACAACATAATTTCAGTTCAAGATGTCACAATGAACAGTATTTATATTGTCCATATGAACTTTCTATATATACAGGGTGTCTGTGAAAGGTGGGGACATGGCTGGGCTGTGGACTGCTGGGATAAAAATGAGTTGATTTAGGCCAACTTACCTATATCCAAAATTGTCTCGTTGACTTGGTACAAGGCGTTGAAGTTTTTTTGGAAAAAAATAATTTTGCTCATTGGCTGAGATCGATTTTCATAATTTTTGGCATGGCATATTCTGTGACTGTAAGTCACGTTTTGAGATGATATTGATCATCATCAGTGACCTGCAAGTGTTTCAAACAACCATGTTGCCGTACAAATTTGGTGATTACTTTTCAGAGGTCAGACTGGAAACTTCCAGTTTTTTTTTTCAGACAGATATTCCCTTCAGAAATAATTTTTTGTCTCGTGTTAATATTTGATAAGTCTCGAGGTTCATTTGCAAATAAATAATTTCTGATCTGAGGCATCTTTTACATCTATTATAAAAATAATCTGGTTGGGACATGGCATGACTGTAGACTCCTGGGATAAAAATAAGTTGATTGTAGCCAACTTACCTATACCTATATCCAAAATCGTTTCGTTGAGTTGGTACAAGGCGTTAAAGTTCTCACCTTAGGTCCTGAATAATTATCACTGAATTTGTAACGCGAGAGTTATTGTAAAGCCCAGAAACATATCAGTTTGTTCACAATAAGATATAATGAGAATACATTGTAGCCATGAGCAATAAACAGTCCTACTAATTAGATTAATTTTCAAAAATGCGCAGGATGCATCAGATCAGAAATTATTTATTTGCAAATGAACCCAAGACGCATCAAAAAATTACACGATACAATAAATATTTCTGAAGGAAATATCTTTCTGGGAAAAAAACTGAAAGTTTCCAGTCCTACCTCTGAAATGTTATCACGAAATTTGTACAGCTACATGGTTGTTTGAAACACTTGCAGGTCACTGATGATGATCAAAAACATCTCAAAACGTGACTGACAGTTACAGAACACGCCATGCCGAAAATTATGAAAATCGATCACAGCCTACTCTTTTTATGAGCAAAATTATTTTTTTCCAAAAGAACTTCAACTCATTTTCATTCCAGGAGTCCACAGCCGAGCCATGTCCCAACCTTTTACAGTCATCCTGTATATTATTTTCGTGACATGTGTTCCATGTGAAAGTAATCGATGATGAAGTAACAACCAGTAAAAAAAATGATTTGGTCAAGAATCTATGGATTGTGGAAGATGTTTGAATGATGAGAACAAGGTTTTTGGAAATGTGCTCTTCATCATGTTTATTGAGTTAAGGTTGTTAAGATATATTTTGTAGATTTCTGGGAGCTGATTATCTTACATGATAGGTGAGTAAAGCTGTGCAGGCTGACGTTTGTCCCGAGGTCTGTTTTCACATATTGTTTTTATTCAGTCTAGTATGGTCGATTTGTTCAAGTAGGTTTCATTCTTGTGGGTGAATAATATAATTTGGTGCATGGAAAGTTGTCTGATATCGGGTAGGCCAGATTCATGAAATAATGTATTAGATGGGTTGGGCGGTTTTTTGTTATGTATCACTTTGATGATTCGTTTCTGTAATACATCAAGTTGCCTGACATGGCAAAATGCGGCGCTATCCCAGCTGAATATACCATAACGTAATCTTGATTAGGGTGTTGATTGAATAGGGTGTTTCATCAACACCAATGGTATGCTAGAAAATTCTCAATTTGAGCATATAGAGGATGCAACATTTGAAATGTGAATAATGGAAAATAACTGTATGATATATAAATATGCTCACTCATAGAAATAAAATATATATCACTTGAAATGTGAATAATCGAAAATGACTGAATATGATATATAGAAGTACTCACTCTTAGAGGGCTTACTAATTACTAATTATTCAGCAATATCACTGACACAAATCATTACATCGCTTATTTGTTTGGCCAGAAATTTCCTATCAATCAGGTATATTGTTTGTTGTTTGTCAGATGGGTGCACATTTTTATAGATTGTGGTAATATCTGAGTTGATGGCGTGAATGCCAATTTGCGCGACCAGAATTTTTTACTTGCCGACACCGTGTACAGGGCGATCTGGAATCATAGGGCGATCCTTCGACAAGCTCAAGACCTGGCAATTCTTTAAAAAACAGACAATATTCGCGTTTCGAAATCACATAGGATTGGGACGTGTTGGGACTTCCAAATCATGAGTTGCCAAAACGTAAAGGCCTACGGCATTTCATAACAGACAGTTACTAATTCGCAAAGAAGCATAATTCCAACTCACATACGGCTTCACCTATGGGAATCCATATCATGATTTGGAACTTCCAACACGTGAAGCCCTATGTGATTTCGTACGCTCGGCATTCCAACTCACATACGTTTCAGAAATATTTACAATTTCTTTATGTTACCCTTTATTCCTGACACTTTTATGTCATGAGCAAGTGAGTTCAGTATATGGGCAAAACAACCATAAGTTATTTTATCTTTCCTGTTCAATTCCTCGAACAGATCCCTTCTCATTTTGGTCACATTTGCAGCGTTGTCTGCTACTATACTAGTTACCTTTCATATTTCCTCAATTGAATTTTCAAGTAGCTGTGATAAATAGTAGTATGAATAGGAAGTATGACTATTCCCACTTGTATCAATGGACTCTATTAGATGCGCCCGTTCACTTTCTATATTTGTGACACATTCACATATCGTATGTTCTTTATGAACGTTGCTCCAGCAGTCAAGCGCTAAGCAAACCTTCTTGTTGAATACATTTTCTTTACTTGTTGTTTGTACTGACTTATGAACCTTATCAAGCAAGTCGGTTGAAACAGAATTCCTATTTGGTGGCTTATAGGACGTAAGGCATTCATCATCTTTTCAAATTCGGGATGTTCAACTGCACGAAACTATGTATTTGTTGCATATAAATATCGGGCTATTTGTAGATATAATTTATTCTCTTCTGATTGGCTGGTTCGAATAAAAAAGCTTGAAATACTGCTTCCAGAAGTAGATGGTTTTAGGTTGACAATCAAGTTTTTCTTGTTTTTTTTTTGTATTTCTGGGAACTTAGGCATTACACTGTTGCCCGTGGCACAAAATAATTTGGGATTAAATCAAATCTCGATCATTATTAGGAATACAAGGATGTTTTTATTGGTACTGAAACATCTTGCAAGTATATAAGTATTCAATAAGTGATTATTAGGGACTACTCCGAACTTTTCTCTTCTGATGTGAATGTGAATACTATTGGGATTGGTCATATTGAATCTCGTGAGGTAATTACTGGTTACAAATCTGCCAGCGTCGAAATATGTGGTTCCACCTTTTATGCGAAAGCAAGAATTCGGTTCATGACGTCATCGAACCTGGCGTTTTTAGAAGTCGCCGACTTTAATTTTTGAAAAAAAATATTTGCGATGATTTTATGTAACGAATGATTGGATCAAATCATATTCATACACGGAATGATCAATATAAAATAGTTATGTGGCGTAAATTCGACTAGTGTCTACAACCTCATTGAACAGTTCCATGAAAATAATACTCACATTTCCACCACGTATTTCAATTGATTCGTAGAGAATAACACACACTATGCTCACATAGACGCCATTTGCATTTTGTGGGATATGAGGTTGAACATTTAGCTGGTTGCAGTTTTCCATACGACTTCCCTCCAAACTTCTAAATGAAATATTCCTGTTGGGCCGGGGGTTACGAGCATTTAGAATCAGTTCAGGATTGATGTTAGCCGTTTAAAAATGCTTCAAACTCAAAATCCCATGATTTTCGGCTTACGACCTCTTAACCCTTTCGCTACTAAAGGGTCTTATATGTCCCAAGAGGTTTTAGTTCTTAAAAATACGGCATCATTTTTTTTTCGAAATTATTATTTTTTAATGAATTATCAATAAACGCTACTTTCTTGGTAGAATTTTACAAACAATGAAATAGTAGGTGGTCATCTAGGCAAAATACGGCTTGGGACATATATATCCCTTTAGTGATATAAAGAGGGGCGTATATGTCCCGGGCGTATTGTAATGAAAACACCTGAGCATTTGTTCGTAGTGCTTTATTGTGAAAAAAGAAATATTACGAAAATATTTCACAGAAATCACACGCAATTTATGTATGATAAGATGCAAAACATAAGCTGCATAAAGGAATATTACAATAAGAACAAATAGTTGTCGTCCGTTTCTCCTTCTTTTTTTCGGAACAGCTGCGACACCGTTTTCTAGTTTTTGTAACGACAGGTAAGTGGTCACCAACATTTATTAGATTTTTTGAGGCAATATTCGACCGACTGTATGCGCGTTTTCTGATAACATTCGCATTTCTACGGCCTGTTGCAATTAGCGATTCAGCAAGATTTACGAGGAAACTAAGAAATGGAAGTTTTGGGTTATTACGCAGTTCTTTATAAATAATCCAAGCGTTAACAGCAGTAGTCAAAAGAAGCTTGTAAAAAACTTTTTTCCACCATTTTGTGGATTTTCTATCAACTTCGTATAAACCGGTAAACTGGTCTGACAAATCCACACCACCCATGTTAGTGTTATAGAATTGTATTGCTTCGGGGCATTGCAAATTTATTTTAGAACCATCTTTTGACTTTCGACTAATTTCAACCCTTTTATCTTTATGGCAGTTGCTAAGAATCATAACTTCCTTTGTGTCCTGCCAAAGAAATCCTATTTTTCCATTACCATTTTCCATGCTTTCCATTTCCCCTCTCTTTCTTTTCATTTTTTCAAATTTTGGCATATTTTTTCTTGAAGATATACA